TCCTCCTCCTCTCCAGACGCTGGGCGGCTTGACAAGAAGCCAGGGGGAGCCGGGACCGAGGCTCAGCTCTTCTTTTCCTGCTCTGATTGCTCGCAGCCTACAAGCCACACCATATGCTTCTGCTGATCAGACAAGGCCGCGAGGGAGGCGTCGGTAATTGACCAGACCGGTTGCAAAGCACGCACCCCTGGTAGCCCACGGAGACCGAGGAAGCGGGCAAATCATGGCTAATCATCATGGGAGGAACCCCCACGGCCTCCCTGGACCACTTCGCTCCCTTCCGCGTGGACAGCCGAAGCGGGCGACGGGGGAGGGGAAATCTTTAAAAATAAACATAAAAATAAACTCCCTGTTCCGCCGCCTGAAATGACCGGAAGCCGGAAAGATCCCCAAAAAGCGACGGGTTGGTATGAAAAGTGTGTCAATTGCCTCCAAAATCTTCTTCTCCCCTCAAGCTATCACCACCCCGATCCTTAACACACACACACACATGGGAGTCCCTGTGTGCTCCATGCGCATCACGTTCATTAGTTTCTTTAAGCACAAAAGCACGATCCAGACCAGGTTTTGCACATTCTGATCCCTTCAGATGTGGCAGAAGGAGGTGTACCTTGCGTCTCCCGTGGAAATTACCGGAGAAAGTGCTTTACTTTACCTGGATTGTGTCCGAAAATAATGGTAAGTAACCCCCATTGATACCGAGATAATTTGCTTTTGAACAAGAGGCTTTTTGGGGAATTCCGCTGATTCCCGCGGCGTTTATCATGGGAGTTTAGATGTTAACAGATAGAAACAGCAAAATGGTAAAGCAAGAATAATTCCTAATCCCCCTTGGCAAACATACGGAGATACCAACCACATTGAATTACCTCTTCCGAATTAGGAGGTTCCAGCCCAAATTAAAGGCCATGTTTCCTTTGTTTTTAATTTGTAAGCTTTATGACTTTCTTTAGCTCCACCGCTCTTGAAGTCGACGGGGCTTAAAATTCGTATAAGATTTATTTGTATATGTTTAATTTGTATACGAAACAAATTAAGCAAGGTAATTTACACATTAATAAGCATACGGAATATTATAAGAAGTGAAACCAATAAGTCCCGCCTCAAAAAAACAACAAGGACATCCAGGCCTGGATATTTTGAAGCCCGGCTAATTTCGAACGAATTTACTTCTAAGTAAATGGCTATAGAATTCCAAATTTATTTGGAATGTTCCCTTTCAGCGGATTAGGTTTATCTCCAAGGAAATGCGAAAGGGGTTGGATTTCTGTAGAAGAACAGGTACAGAATGATGAATTGGTTAAAATTTCATTTCGATTATCAAAGATGAAATCAAATATTTTGACGTTACTTGCCCTCCCTTTTGTAGCAACAACAAAACAGCTGGCGTCCAATCACCCCATTTCATGCCTATAAGGTTACATGTATCCTCAAAACTGTGTTACCTATCTTAATGATTTGCGTTCGTTCATTTTCCAGAGACAGTTTTACTCCAGAAAATCTTCCCTCCCCCCACCCCACCCCAATGACTGCAGTTCCTTTTGAATCTTTACATTGAGATCATCTTCTACATCTTATTGTTTGAATTTTTTTTATTCTGAAAAATAAATTTGTCCTTGGGAATATCCTAGAATCCCGATCTTGTATGGATTTAGTTGGCCGTTTGTTTTCAATTGAGCATATTTCAGGGTCTAATCTAAAATCCCACACCATATCAGTTTATCTGATACAGGCACATTCCACTGAATTGGGGGGGATTTCTTTACATTTCATCCCCACCACAGTTAGCGCTGAGGTTTCCACAGAGGAAAATCATTTTGCTTAACTTTCGGCAGACCTAACTTTCCAAAACTCTCAGGATCTTGAAACATACTTTTTTTTCCTGAAGTTAAAAACACACTAGACCAGAATCAAGCTTACTGTAAGACATTCCGTGGTACAGTACTCCGTCAGTCATTTCCTCACTTTGAAGGATCCAAATCTTAGTACCGGGTCAGCTGGTGTTTTTTTATTTTCAAACCACACCAAGCAATCATAACAGCCATTTCTCCCATCCTAATGGTAAAAATCTTTCTTTTTGGAAGTATGTTGTTCTTTTCTAACCGTTGCGGGCAAGAAAGAATTTTAACACATGTACCTGTGTCTCTTTCTTCTGTGTTTGTGGACGTTTTGCTTTGTTTTTGTTTTGTTTTTCCCCAGGTACAATAGTGGGTTTGATTGACACTCTTTATCGAAGTGGGGTTGGTGGGCATCAGATCCAGATGTGCCAAGTTCATACATATTCAAGAGAGGAATTTAATTCGATTGCTTCTTTCCCCCCCCCCCCTCCACCGCACGCCCACCCTCGCTTTCCCGGAGACGCGTCGCATCTGGTGCGGGACTCTTTTTCTCGGCCCAGAAGCCGGGTCTGCGCTTAGATCTATGTAAATATTTAGTTTAGCATTAATTCATTTCCTTCCTACTCCCTCCTCCCCAATTTTACCTATAATAAATATGAGAGAATTGCCCTTTTGGGCAATGCGCGTGGCTTTGGCGGCGGAGGTGGGTGGGTGTGAAGGCATTGTTTGTTTTAGCCGCGCCGGCAGCTGCGCTCCGCGCCTCGACGTGTTGACAAAAGGCACCGCTGGCTCCCCCAACCAAAGACGTCCGACGTACCGGAGGGGAAGGTGTTTAAGGAGGGGAGGCCGAGAGAAAAGGGGGGGGGGAGAGGGAGAGAGAACTCCAGAAAGCGATAGACTCCGTGGCTGGCTCCGGGACAGTTCTCTCCTCTGGGATCGTTTCTAAAGGAGAGGCAGAAGAGGCCCACCCTAGCTGAGTGCCTGGGGCCTCCAGGACTACAACAACAACAACAAACAACAAACAACAACAGATCATCCCCACCTCCCTCCTCCGCCAGGTTTTAGGTGGGCAGGAGAGACGCCACCTACCTTCTGGGAAAACCACGCGCATTTTTAGATAGCTGGTGGTGAGTCGGATGATGGAAGCCTTGTCCAGCTGCGAGGTGATGGCCGAAGGCAAAGGCAGGAGTTTGGCCAGTTCATAAAACTCGCTGTTCTCTTTCTCCCGTCTTGTCCGGGCAGCATTTTTGGACTTCTCTTTCATGGTGGTTTCGTCCCCCTTCCTTGTGACAAGGTAAACTCCACAGAGTCATCCAAAAGAAGGGAGCGAAGGGTCAGTTCAAGCAAAGCATGGTGGCCTGAGAGGGTTGGCCTGGGTTCGGGGTTGTGTTCGCTTTTGAATCACAAAGTCATATTTTGTGAAACCTCGGACATAGCTCTCAAAAGGCAGAGGAACCGACCTTCCACCTTCAGATTATAAATCAGGAGTAACAATGGAACCATCGGTTTAAAATGTAAAACATTAATAGAAAAGAAGGAGACGAACAGGGAGAAGAAAAGAACCGTGTTGTTAATTCTTAAAAGTTTAGAATCCAGCTCAGTGAATCCAAAAGTGGTTGCCAGAGACGGGATTCAGAAGATCGACTCGGATCTCAGCAATCCGCCCAAAGGGATCCTTCAGGCTTTCTTCCGCTGAGGGTTGAAAACATTAACTCCTGGGGTCCGAAGAGCCATGACAGCTCCCCGCTTTTCCTCTGCCTGAGAATCGCCAGGCTGTTTGTAAACAAGTGGCGGGCCGTTACGCCGTTTCCAGCCGGCTCTGGAAGAAACTGCAGAAAATCCGGGCAAGTTCCTGCGAAGACAACAGGGGCGAGAGGGTGAGGCAGAAGGAAGCTCTAGAGGTTGACATCCCCCCAGGAAACGCTATCGCTTCCAAACGTCCCCTTTAACAACAGGCCGTGGGGCACCTTCCCGACTAACACATTCATTCGGGCATCCGCTTTCGGGTAGGCCGCCCTCACCGGCTCCAGCGACACTTACAGCACGATCCTGATGTTAAGCCTTCAAGGCAGGGCAAAGCCTTCACTGCTTTTGCTGAGACTGCCTAACGCAAGGGGTCCTGCTGCCAACAGAGCCTTGTGGGTCACAGAAGGCCAAGAGGTAAGCAATCATAGTGAAACTAAGGCCCACGGAACCCAGTGAGCCTTACCTCCTCATAGGACTCAGTTCTCTCACAAATTTTGAGGGTCTCTGTGTGAAAGACCTACAGATTCCGGCAGGGCTTACTTCCGAGTAAACAAGAGTAGGTTTCGACGATCATAGGGTGTTTCCACCCCCCCTCCAACATTTGGGAAAGAATAAGATAAATGCATTGAAAAGGGCTTTGAAAAGGGATGGAAAAGACTACCATGTGGGCTTCTTTTCTGCAAGAGGCGCCTCTTCCTCCCTGGAGAATCCGTACCGGCCGGAAAGAAAGCGCCATGGGTTCCTGACTGGTCTCTTTCCATGAACAGTCCGGCACAGAATTTTAACAGCTGAATTACGAACAACCATTAGGGCTGTTCTCCTAGAGCTCATTTAAACGACTTCCCTATATTTTAAATGGGGCTTTCGCTGCGGAGTTTCCTAGACGAATTGGGCCCTTAAAAAAAAAGATTACAGTAAGTACTTCCTTACAGTATGATTCAATTTGCCAGGCACATTCTGGCATTTGTCCGCTTCCGATCCACCAGCTGGTTAGGCTGGAATTCTTTGCTTAAGACAGATATCAGTCTGGGTTGAAAGCTCCCGCAAGGAATCTGTTCGTAAGACCCGGCACGTTTGGCTCACAGGCTTTGAGGATGGCGACCTCTATGGATCACCTAACCGGTCGGTCCCTTCCTCTCCTCCTCTGGGTTTCCTCTGATCCTCTGCCTAAGGACCGGTCCAACCACTGTGCAATGGATCGTATCCTAGTCTGTGTCGGACTAATGGAAAGGCTAACCTCTTTTACAGCGTCAAGAGGTGTCACCTGAAAGTAGATCCTGTCTGCACCCCAATGGCCCCGCTCCCCCTGTTCGTGAACAGAAAGGCGATGTCTTACGAGGAGACCTCTGAATCCGGCACAGAAGACCCAGAACATTTTTCTAAATCGAAACCGTGCCCACCAATCTCCACCCCACCCCCCGAGTCCTTCCCGGCTCTGTGTCAGTCCGTCCCTTCCCTCCCTCCCCCTCCCCCCGCTGTGTGCCCTTCTGTCACTTACCTTCTGTCCCGGCGTCCGGGGTGACAATCTCGAGGCTTTAATGAGAATCAGGAAGATCCGCCAAAGGGGGAAAAGTTGCCTTTCCCCGCCGCTGGGACGGGAGCTTCCTTCCCTCCCATCCCGGTTCCTTGCTGGCAAGGCTCTAATCGAGACGATGCGTCTATTAATGAAGAATCCTTAATTTTCAGGCTGAGAAATGCCTAATAAACTTCTTGATAGCCAAAAGGGCTTTTTAGCGCAACTTCATTTCTCAACCCTGCTTCCCTCTAGCCCGGCCTTAATGCCACTCACGGAGCCAGCTCGCTTCCTATTGGAACCGGGCTCCGAAAGACCGACCTCTCACTGGCTGGGCGGTCGAGTGACGTCACCGCATTCCGGACACACCCCTTTCTCCCCTTCTGCGGGCCGGCGACCGCGAGCGCGGAATCCGGTTTGCCACCTCTTTGCTCCGAATGGGTGGACGCGGAGAGAACCGGATCGGGATGCCACGGCTCCGCTCTGGGGTGGGAGGCAAAACCTCCGGCAAGTGGCGGAGACCTCCGAGCGTCCTGGGTTCTCTTCTGACATCCATGGGAAAGGAGCACCCAAAGAGCCACCGCTGGTTTCTTCTCCCGCGGCTGCTGCTGCTGCTGCTAAGCTGGTCACGTTAACCCGTTCGTTTCTTCCAATTCGGATAGAGAGGGAAGGAAGGAAAGTGTTGCCGGTCTGCTTTCTGCTTTCCTAGAGCCGGTTCAAAACCCATGAAGCCACAGGGACTTTCCTCCTCGCTTATTTCTCAATGTAGGGAATGAGGGGAAGAATATCATCACGAGCACCGGAACCTAAGTTTCAAAAGGCAGCCAGTGGAAACATAGTCCGTTAAAAAAAAAGATTTCCAAGTAGTACGTAGGATGTGTGGGATAAGATAACTCATGCATGGGGACTAGAGGTGGACATTTAATTTGGGAAAATCAAGGAAATGCATCAAAGACTGGAGAGCAAATTATATACTGATTGATGAAGGGGCTTTGATCAGAAGAAAGAAACCGATCCTAAGCGCTTGGAAATATTGCCATTATTA